ATTCTTATGACTCTTCCGCCTATCCGCGTGCTATGCACGCTTAATCTAGCACGTGAAAAGAAGACAGGCTTAACAGGCTTGTTTGCCTTGGCTCTGTTCACCATGTTATGCTCTATTCGCGTATAAGCAGACTAAACGCATCTAATTTGAGATGAAAACTCGTCTCTGCTAATAGTATAGGGCATTATTAAGTTTTACGTCGGAACTATGGTACCACCGCTGTTATTATTGGCCCCCGCTTGCCTAGGAAGCTGTAATGCGTCTGGTGCGAAGCGAGGCGGGGATAAAAGCGGCCGTCGCAGGGGAGAAAAGGGCCACGACGGCTAGAACGCGCGCAACCCGCGTAACGCCAATGACCATGGCCACTTTGTTAGTACAGAATCCCTGGGTGCGGCCGGTGAAAGACATTGAGTATAGCTTACGAGCCTTAATTACGGTCAAAAAAAAAACCGTCTCTATGCATTATAGTAAAGAAGCAGAGGCATTTGTGACCAACGCGACGACTACAAGCTAGTCTTACTATTCGCCCACGTTAAAGTTGACGTAGAGGCGTCTCCGCCGTAATCTGCTGTTCTTTAATAAGAATGTCTAAAATTAACTTGGAATTTTTTCGTATAACGCCACTGCGGCTAGGAATAAAGTCATAGATAGCGAATATAATTACTGCCGTTTCCGCGGCAGAAACCGTGAGGATGCGCATGCTCTTAGCACCTACGTACTTACACACCTACTGAAATGTCATCGCAATCACTAGCTTTAGTCGACACTGATCCTGTAGTAGATAGGGCTGATGTCGTAATTAATGATAAGTTTGACCTGAGACCCGGCGATTAGTCTAGTGGTGGTGCGAAGTCTCCTACCGTGTTCACGTCACTCGATCCTCACTAGGCGATCCCTGGGGATCCTTGCTAGGCTGTTTCCGCCGACTTGACCAATCCTTTCGATGATGTTTTCGCTGTTTTCGATTAAGGAGCTGAAGATGATGGAAAGAGCATAAGCACGGGGCGTAATAGAGGCTAAGATGGCCTTACGATATTGCTATGTTTCTTACTTCTTTTTTCGCTTTTAATATTCTTTCTAGCCTAAAGCTGGCTATAAACACGTTCTCTACGGCGGAAAGTTACTTGATCTTAAAATGTGCATAGAGCTAGCCTGCTGACTTAGCCTGCTGACTGACTTATCCGAGCTTCGTAAATATATCTCGTGCACGTCGCCTTGACGTCAGCTTTGGCCTTTCGTGGCCAGGCGGCGTTAAGGGTGCAGAGGCGGGTTTCACACTAAATAAGGACTGATAAGCTATGTCGTGATCTCACTGAATATTATATTATAGATGCCCTAGGCACTGAGAGCAGACTAATCGCATTCCAGTACTATATGCAGCTAGTGCAGCCTGAATCGTGTGGTGTATGTGAACGCAAGCTCTATGAGGCGTGAATTCACGACGAGGTGGTT